TGGTGAGATCGACAAACGAATCTCTTCATCATGTACTTTCATTCGAAATGAAGGTCCCCCTAACAACATTCTAGATAAAATCCAACCTGATTTTCTGGTTACAACAAACTTTCACGCTAAATAAATATTAGCTCGACAATAATAAGCATGAGACAAAAACAATTTCTGGGGTAGATAAATATATGTAAGTTCAGGTATAGATTTAATGGTTTATGATGAACTTATAAATCCGAATGGGAAAATCCCCGAATAGTCAATGTGTAGTGACCAAGGGCAGTGATGCTATTCCCATTTTCCGGTTGAGATAATCTATATATATATGCATAACCGAACCGGGGAGATAAGGGACGGAGAGTATCCATTATTTAATTATTGATCGATCAAAAATCCAATTATTTCCTCCATCATACTAGCAGATATTTGGGAACTGAAGGAATTTTGATTATCTTAACAGGTGAATGGGAATAGCAGCATTGAGTGTCAGTGATTTTCACATTTGGATTTATAATTGCATTGTAAACCATGGGAGTGATGCTGTTTTTAGTAATAACTTTTTACTTCCATTTATTGAATATATAATATGTATATTATTGTCCTATACTATATTATATTATATATTAATTTATTTAGATCAGTGTAACATTACAACTTTGGAAAAGCCACCGTTTTGTTGTATTGGCCTCTTCAAATGCACAACAACGATAGCCCGATTGATCCTACTCACTTACTCTACTGCAAATCGTGTAGGCAAACTTTTGGGATATATTTGATTGCAAGCCTATTTTATGCAATTAATTAGTATACTTCCGACTAAAATGTGCCCTTTGCATCATCCCCGCATTTGTCTCATTTTTCGCGTCTTCGGACCATTTCACTGAGCAGTCAATCCGGCCAGCGAAGTGTGCGCTCTTTACGCCTGTCACTGCGATACGGAATTCGCCCATTGCCTGGCTCGTGTAGGAGTCGTGCTTCAGGCTAGGCACTACACGCGCCAGGGCTACAATCGTGCGTTGGTACATTGGCTAAATCGGCTCAAAGGCAACAGTAACCCGTGAGGGAGCACAACTGGCACAACTGCCCTTGACTCTCACAGCCTCAAGACCAATCAGCCCGATTCTGTCTCAGTCTGAACGAAATTTGTGTATAACTCTTAAATTTCTGCACGTCTTTCATTAAATGAACATTTCTTTTATGCATTCCTTTTTGTATTTGACGTGAATTAGCAATGCGCTCATCAGAGGTGTATGAGAAAGTTAGAATTATTGATAGTTTAAACAGAAACTTTGTTATCCTATCGTCGAGCGATATTTTTTAAGGTGTGATAGGACGAGGGCGAGACCAAAGGGTTGGAAATGGATAGATGGACCAGGACAAAACAAGGAGTGATAGCATAACCGTCTCGACAGAAAGATGGTCAATTGATTGACTTCACTTGTATCTTTGACGAGTTGTAGCTTGGTTGCTAAGACTGGCAAGGCTCATAGAAGATGCCAAGAAACGTCTGATAATGTACCACGTCCACGATCCGACTATGGAAATGATCACGCATACTATGGA